TCCATTATCTTTACCCGCTTATTCCATTTTGGGTCACGGGGGTCGCTGGTGCCCATGTCCAGCAATCACTGTGCGAGGGGCGGGGTACACCCTGGACGAGTCTCCAGTCCATCACAGGGACACATAGAGACAAACGAGACAAACAACCATTCACTCTCTCGCTCACACCTAGGGACAATTTAGAGTTACCAATCAGCCTAACCGGAAACCGGAGCACCCGGAGAAAACCCACGCTTGCACGGAGAGAACATGCAAACTCCACCCAGAAAGGCCCCTGGACCGGGGTTTGAACCAAGGACCTGCTCGCTGAGAGGCAGCAGCTCTGCCAGTTGCGCCACCGTGCTCTTAGGTCCGTTCTAAACGCTGTAAGTCAGGTCCTCTGGACGTTTCTTTGTGTTGAAACGTTTCATATTTCATCCACAACACGTCATCAGTCTGAGGAGCCCCAACAAACTCAGTCTTATAAACAGCACCTTCACATAGTGGGTCAACCAGTGTGAGTTCAATTCAATTTCAATTCAGTTTATTTATATAGCACCAAATCACAACAAAGTTGTCTCACGGCACTTTACAGAAACATTCACATTCGTAGAAAAGCCAATTAGTAAATTTCTCTATCTAAGGAATCCAGCAGACAAGTTGAGTCTTGGCTTCGTCACAGTCTCCCATCCTGAGCAAGCACAGTGGCAACAGTGGAAAGGAAAAAACTCCCTTTTAAAAGGAAGAAACCTCCAGCAGAACCAGGCTCTGGACAAGCGGCCATCTGCTTTGACCGGCTGGTTTGAGAGGACAGGAAGGAGAGAGACGAACACAGAATAGTCCAGAGATGATGGTACACATTGATGATAATAAGATGGTTTCTGGAGTGCGCCCTCTCCCCCATCAACTCCTCTGAGGCAGCCATAGCCAAAATGGTTCAAAACATCAAAGTTCATGTTCAATAATCCAGGTAAAAAAATCCTGTAAAGAAGGACCAAAATTAAACCGCAGCAGTTTGATGATGATAATTACTTTGAGTTATTGTTTGAAGATTCAACAAGATGTTTTCAGTTTAGATTTTCTTGAGATATAAACTGAGCTTGAGGTCGTATCTAACTGTAGGACCAGGTGACAAACTCAGAAACGTCTTCTGTCTGTCTGTCTGTCTGTGTGCTGCAGGGGACGAGAGAGCGCTGTGTCTGGTGGAGATTAAGAGGGTGAAGCAGTCTCTGGCCCAGTCCCACCTGCCCAGCCCGACTGAACTGGTTCCCTACATCTTTGAGACAGTGAAAGGCTGCCATCTGTTTGCTGCTGGGAGGGTATGTCCTCGTCCCCTTCATGAAACCTGAGGCACAGCAGACTATATATTTTCATACAGTTATGTCACTTTAGTGGAATTTAAAAATCAAAATCCTCTTTATTTGCTCGAGTAGGCTTGTTTCACATACAAGGAATTTGACTCCAGTCTCACATGCACGTGTACTTCTACACACTCACAGCTCAATTATAGAATATGATAACAGTCGTACAGTGATCTGTTGATTCATCTAGAGGTGAGAAGAGGTTGAATGTGAGGGGTGTCTGATACCACTTGTTCATTTCCTCTCTCTTGAAGACTACAGGTCTTGTACGGAGAGCAGGATGGCACCAGCGATCCTGTCTGTAGACTCGAAAATCCTCTGCAGTCTGTTTCCGTCTAGTTCGGTAGAAGTTTAGTTAAAAGTGAAAAAGGAAGACGTGGGTAAAGATGGATGGATGAAACGTCTTGAGCTGCTGCAGTAAGGGTGTCCTCTAGCGGACTTTCTTCGTGACTGCGTTTAAGTTGGCTCTCCATGTCAGGCCCTTGGTGATGATGGTACCTAGGAACCTGAATGTTTCCACCATCAACACAGGGTTACTGTGGATGGTGATGGATGTCAAAGGTGGTGGTGGTGGTGGGGGGGGGGCTCCTCCTCCTGAAGTCTATTACTATTTCCAAAATTTTAAAAGTGTTGAGCTTAAGAATCATCGGACTTCACCAGTGGACCAGTTCTGTATGCAGATTTGGATGAGGCGAGTTGTTATAGTCTGTAAGTCTAGAAGTGACTCAAAGGATGTACAACATGTGGAGTTCAGATGAAGATATATATATATATATATATATATATATATATATATATATATATATAAACACAATCATCTAGAACAGAAAACAAGCAGTTAGGAGCCCTGGCTAAAATAAACAAGAGAAAGGAAGAAGCGTTGAACCAGTCAGGAGTTAAACGTCAGATACAGTCCACTCCGCTCATCCTGTGATCCAGGATCTAACCCTGCAACCAAAAACCCAGAAAACAAGGACTGTCTGTGGCAAGACCTTTCAACATAAAATCGATTAGTCTGACTATGTGTAGTTACATTCTGGAATGTAAGCGTGGTGAGTCTGATTTTATGTTAAAAGGGCTTGCCATAACTGCCAGTAACTGCCACACCTGGCTAACAATCAATAGCAAAAAAGTGACAAGGTGCAAGGCAGGCGTTTATGGGAATGAGCAGGAGTGAGCGTGGAGATGGAGAGTGGAATCAGCAACCACCAGACATCAAACCAACACTCGAGCCTCTCCTCTCTGGCCCCTCGCTCGTCCAGTAGGCGGGGCTTGCTCCTTTTAAAATCCCATCAGCCAATCACAACTGAGAAGAGAGAAAACATCAGTTAAGCAGAGACTCATTCATAAAAAGATAACACCTCTGACTGTTGTGTTGCCTATAGACTTGTGGGGTTTGACAGACTGATCACTCAAGGTGCTGTTGTTTGTGTAGAGGGAGAAAAGCTGTGGGGACCACACACATCCCTGAGGGGCACCAGTGTTGATGATATGGATGTGGGATGTTATTTTCTCCAGCCTCATCTACTGCCTCCTGTCTGTCAGAATGTTTCTGATCCACTGATCGGTGAAGGCTAGGACAGAGTACAAACTGCAGGGGGTCCAGCAGGGGTCCTGTGATGGTCCTCAACACTAGTCTTTCAAAATATTTTAAGACCACAGACATCAGGACGATGGGCCTCTTGTCATTAGATTCTTGGATAGAAAGTCTTATGGGAAGATGTCCTGATACTCTGTAACATGCGCTCGTTGTCTTTGCAGGTAGACAGCGGGCCGTGTATATGTGCTGCCATGCCAAACAAGATCACCGTTCTGCGTTACAACGACAATCTGAACAAATACTGCATCCGTAAGGTGAGTGGGACCTGCTGAGAAACAAGGTGAAGAGGACAGAAAATTATTTGGAACAAATAAAATACTTTGCTTAGTAAGTGCAACTGAGAGGCTTTTTACACTTTCTGTCAGTAAAAGCTGCTTTAAATCAAAAACATTTAAAACGTGAAGTCCTTCTTACATAAGTGTTTGTATTAGCAGATAAAATATTTATAAAGTTTTATAGATTTGTATGGATTTGGTGGATTTCAGTCATTCTTTATAGACTTCTGTGCGTTCTGAAGGTTGAAGTATTTATACTGTAAATGACAGAAATGGAGCCGTCTCAGGGTTTACAATGAATCTAAATGAGTCCAAATGTTTTGCAGGTTCAGGTGCAATGATGAAAAAAAAAAGTTTTTTATTAGGGTGGGGAAAAGGATTGAACATTTTCATTAGCCCTCTATGGCATGGAGCTGCCCTCAGACAACAAACCACTATTTTGGCCTACACACCTTACCCTGAAAATTTACAAGTAAAAAATAATTTAAAAGTCTGAAGTTAAGTCTGTGTTGAACTTGGAGAGCATGTGACCTTGTGTCTGGGTTGGAATAGTCCTCTTTGACACCACAGGCACCTTGGGCACACTGCTAACTGAAGGTGAAATAAATGTCAATTTTAGCACGTTTAAGTTTAAATTACTTTGAACAAAAAATATCTGTCATGTGCATGAATATGTGCAGAAGCATATTTTATTTAGTAAATACACCTTTTGACTTTATTAACATGTAGAAATTGTATTTTTTCATTCATTGCCTCAGGGTAACATTGTGCAGTTGGACCACTTCAGTTTGACCAGTAACGTGCACGTGGATGGAGATGAGCACAAAAGCAGAGTTATCTCCCCAATATATATTTTTCTGTATTATCCACTACTACCAACAGGAAGTGGATACAAAAACATTTTAAACAGTTAGGTTCATTCCTTCTGACAGTGAGGAAGAGTGGACCAGAACCAGGTCTGAGGGAGAGATGAAGATCAGGGTCCAGTCATGCCATAGAGGGTTAAAGTTGGACAAGAAGTTTTCTCAACTTAATCAATTCAGAGCAATTAGAAAAAAAAACTTGAAAAGGAGGTAAACGGTCCGATGCAGAGTAATGTTCATACAAAAGGATACTGTAGTCTGTGACTTGCAAGTAGTACTGTGTAAAAGTTTTAAACAACCTTTAATTACTTTATACTTTTCCTACAAGAAGTCAGATTTACCCGTCTCAACAGTTCTCCAGGATCTCTGAAAGTTTTTTTCCAAGCTATGTCTGCTTTCACACCCATGGACAGTCTTTGTACATGACCATCACAGCCTCATTTGTAAAAGTACCCAAAAACAAGGAAAGTTTTCAAGTGCAGGACAGACAAAGTCTCAAACCCCAAGTCAAACAATCTACAGCCAAATCTAAAAACCATGTCTTGAGAAACATGAGAAACAGGGTGAGACAACAAATAGAAAGTCTGGATCATTTGAAACAGAATAAGAAATTAGGGATGGCTCAAGACTTTTGCACAGTACTGTAAAGCCATTTGTTTTAATGTCTGCCACTAATGAACAATTATACACATTTCACTCATTTTGAGTTTTCCTTGGTTTTGGTGTATTTTAACATGTTTGCTGTTCTAGTGTAGTTTTAAACAGCAGTCTTTATTTTAAAAATAAATGTGCCACTTGTGTTTTACATCTTCAAATCTTTCATTTCACAGGAAATTGAAACTCTGGAGCCGTGCAGCTGCATCCATCTGACCAGCTACAGCATCATCATCGGCACCAACAAGTTCTACGAGATTGAAATGAAGCAGTACGTGCTGGAAGGTAAGTATGAGAAGAAAGTTTGTGTTTTTGTACCAGGAAACATCACGACAACATGTTCTCTATCTGCTTCACCGTCTGCAGAGTTCTTGGACAAAAACGACGTGTCGTTGGCCTCGGCCGTGTTTGCTGCCTCTTCTCACAGTTTTCCCATCGCCATCATGCAGGTGGCCAGCAGTTTGCAAAAGGAGGAATACCTTCTGTGTTTTCATGGTGAGTTTTAAACTATTTGTCTTCAGCAGGAGCTGAGAAATCCTGGACAGCGTGCTAGTTTATGGAATACGTAAAGAACTGCACACAAAACGGTCTATTTAGTTTATAAGTCACTTCAAGTTCCAGCAAGTACAACAATACCCTCCATGTGCAAACAATGCAGACAACCTTGCAGTCATTCTCACTGTTTACCAGGTAAACTTGTGCAAGTCTCTTCCCACTTCATCTGTGTAATGTTATAACTTTTTCAAATCAATCAGATTACTTTTATTTTCTCATTTCAACTGTGCATTCATTCATAGAAAAATAAATCCTCTTTTTGTCCCCCGTCGCAGAGCAACAAGGAGGATTGGGAACCTCCCTGTCTGTCCATGCACGTTGTGAGCATGATAACTTGAAAAAAAATTGAAGTACCGACTTCCATTTTGTTGTGTGACTGCATCTACCTGTAGGTGTAAGAAAGGTCACTAGTGAAAATTAGGTTGACACGTCAAAATACAAAATGTCCACCATCATATGTAAACTGACCACCCATATCATTTGAGGAAACTCTACTTTCTAGTTTTTATTTTGCTTAACAGTATAGTTTCCTGAAATGATTGGGGTGGCCAAAGTTTAAGCTATGGTGACCAAGGCCACCATCGGCCACCCCCTGGCTCCTTCACTGCACCTGGTGGATTAAATTTCTCCCTCCACTCACCAGGATCCTTCACTCTGCCTCAAACAAGATTAATAAAACTACTCTCTTCTTCTCCACAGTCTAACGTCTACCCGCTTAAATATCTTGCTCCAAAAACATTAAAGTTTATTTTCATTCCCTGTTCAAATGAAAAACACTCATCTCAAAAGCATAAACATTTACTATTCAAATCCCTCAGTGAAGGGGGACAGTACCACTTGTAATTCTGAGGTTTTATGTTTGAGGACATGATAAAACTGATCTAGTTTTTATCAGGCTCTAAAATTGTTAAAATCTAACCTCAAGTGCCCAAAAACACACAACAAACTCCTCCATGTAATTATCTATTAAGGCAGCACGATGGCTCAGTGGTTAGCACTGTTGCCTCACAGCAAGAAGATCCTGGGTTCAATCCCCAGTTGGACCTGGGCTCTTTCTGTGTGGAGTTTGCGTGTTCTTCTCGTGCTTGCGTGGGTTTTCTCCAGGTGCTCCGGTTTCCTCCCATAGACCGAAAACATGCATGTTAGGCTGCTTCAGGCCTCCCATGCAAAAGAGATCTGTGATCTCAATGGGATTTGCCTGTTTTAATAAAGGTTAATAATAAAAATAATTAAACAAAATGTGTTTACACGCTACAGGCATGTGATTGATCAGTTCTTCTAATGCAGGAGTCTGATCAATTTGTTGCTCCGGTCTACTCAAGTGTGTGTCAACACAATGCCAAGGAGGAACGACATTGGCAATTACCTTAGGGAAGCAACAGCTCCATTTCAGGCCTCACTCAGAAGGTTAAAGGTCATGAAAGGACAATTAGAAAGAGACAGAACAAGTCGTGTTGCAGAAGAAAACCTCTTCTCTTTAAAAACAACGTGGAAGCACATCTTAGTTTTGCAAAGCTTCATCAAAATGAATCACTTCAGGAACGATGTCCCTTGAACAGATGAGACCAAAGTAGAGCTGTTTACCCATAATGCACTATGTTTGGATAAAATCAAACACATCATACCAGCTGTCAGCATGTGGTGGAGAGTTGATGGTCTGGGATGTAGACAGTCTGTTTATAGAAAAGCTCCTCCTTTCCCGTAGTGTGGCTGTTTATAAGTTTATGACTGAGACTCTTGTTCTGTGGCAGAGTTTGGTGTGTTTGTGGACTCGTATGGACGAAGAAGCCGGACCGATGAGATTAGGTGGAGCCGTCTGCCTCTGTCTTTTGGTAAGTGGATCTTCTACATGCTTTGTGCCTTTGAGGTAAATGTCAAAAGAAAAGGAACTGAAATATTTTATTGAGGCCTTGCCTCTCTGGTGATCCAGCCTACAGAGAACCCTACCTGTTTGTCACCTACTTCAACTCTCTGGACGTCATTGAAATTCAGGGACACACAGCGATGAGGTGAGACGAACTCACCGTTTTCTGTCCGACTTGATCTTTGATTGTTCTGATTCTGTTTGTGTTTCCAGTCCCACAGTGCTGGCCCACCTGGACATTCCAAACCCTCGTTACCTGGGTCCAGCCATCTCCTCGGGAGCCATTTACCTCGCCTCCTCCTATCAGAACAAACTGCGGGTCATCTGCTGCAAAGGAAGCCTGATCCGAGAGTCTGGAGACCTGCAGAGAACCGGCTCAAGCCGAGGGTTCGCCGCTCAGAAAACCACACTACACCGACAAACATTACACAACGTATTGTTCACACTGTAAACTCATAAACCAGGTCATGAACTAGTTGGTCACAGGTGTGATCCAGAATTTAACTTTTATCCCCATTGACCGGAAACACAGAGATATATATTTAACATATAAACATTAGACAGATATCTATGTATCTGTTTGACATAAACCGCCTCTCTCTGCTGTCTCATCCACAGCAGTCCGAGTAAGCGCTGCCCCCCCACCTACACGGAGCACATTTCCAAACGTTTGACCTCAGGACCCGGCAGCCATGACGGCCTGCATCGGGAGCCGAGCACCCCACATCGTTACCGAGAGGGTCGCACCGAGTTCAGACGAGACAAATCTCCTGCTCGACCTCTGGACAGAGAGAAGTCCCCCGGCAGAGTGCTGGACAGCCGCAGGGAGAGGTCCCCTGGGAGATTCGGGGACAGCACCCGACTTCATGCTGGGTCTGTCCGCACACAGCTCGCCCCTGTTAACAAGGTACAAACTGGAGGATGGTCCCACTGATGCAGCAGGCAACATTACATCCTTTGTCACAAAAAGATTAAGCACACACACAAGAACAGAAACAAAACCATAAACCACTGTAAAGATTTACTGCCTGAACCACAAAAAACAACCAATGAGAATGAGAAGACTTTGAAGAGACACAAGTTCTTGTTTCTGATGTGTTCTTTACAACTCAGGCTGGATTGCATGAAGTGTAGGCAAGTTTTACTCTGAAACATTTCAAGGCAGTATGGTGGCTCAGTTGGTACAGGTGTCGCCACTCAGCAAAAATGTTGAACGACTGAATCCCAGCCTGGGGCCTTTCCGGGTGGAAATTGTATGCTCTCTCAAATTATCATTGTGAAATAACAATCCAAAGATTTTTATCCAGACTTCACCCAGGACTCTCTGTGTGAACTAAGAAATGTAGTCCATCCATCCATCCATTATCTTTTCCCACTTTTTCCTTTTTAGATAATGGGAATCACTGATGCCCATACCCAGCAGACACTGAGAGAGACAGGGTACACCCTGGAGAGGTCTCCAGTCTATCAGGGACACATAGAGACAAACAACCTCTCTATTCTCTCTCTCTCACTCACACCTAGGGACAATTTAGAGTTACCAATCATGGTAAATGGTAAATGGACTGTACTTATATAGCGCCTTTCTATCTTATAGAGATACTCAAAGTGCTTTACACTACAATCTGTGTCCTCATTTACCCATTCATACAGCACTTTATTAGATCTCTACAAAGCTAATTGAACAAATCATTCTAAAGAGACTAATCAGAGCTTTAGATCACATTCATACACCAATGGGACACACATCGGAGGCAACGAGGGGTTCAGTGTCTTGCCCAGGGACACTTCGGCATGTGACTGCTGGTGGATTTGAACCCCCAACTCCTGCATTGGAGGACGACTGCTCTAACCACTCAGCCACAGCCGCCCCTCATGCAATCATGCATGTTTTTGGTCTGTAGGAGGAAACCCACACATGCACGGAGAGAACATGCAAACTCCACCTAGAACGGCCCCCGGCCGGGATTCGATCTGGCAACCTTCTCTCTGAGAGGCGGTAGTTCTACCAACTGAACCAATGTGCCACTGAAATGTGGTCCAGTTTAATGTACTCATAAAAACACAAGCAAGAATGAACTTTTTCCATCAATGTTGTAATAATACACTGCCTGGCCCCAAAAAAGTCGCCACCAAAACAAAGTCACACTAATATTTCGTTGGACGACCTTTAGCTTTGATTACATCATGCATTCACTGTGGCATTGTTTCGATAAGCTTCTGCAATGTCACAAGATCTATTTCATCCTGTGTTGCATTAATTTTTCACCAAGATCTTGCATTGACGATGGCAGATTCTGACCACTGTGCAAACCTTCTCCAACACATCCCAAAGATTCTCAATGGAGTTAAGGTCTGGACTCTGTGGTGGCCAATCCATGTGTGAAAATGATGTCTCATGCTCCCAGAACCACTCTTTCACAAGTCAAGCCCGATGAATCCTGGCATTGTCATCTTGGAATATGCCCGTGCCATCAGGGAAGAAAAAAAATCAATTGATGGAATAACCTGGTCATTCAGTACATTTAGGTAGTCAGCTGATCTCGTTCTTTGAGCACATACTGTTGCTGAACCTAGACCTGACCAACTGCAGCAACCCCAGATCATAGACTGCCCCCACAGGCTTGTACAGCAGGCACTAGGCGTGATAGGTGCATCACTTCACCTGCCTCTCTTCTTACCCTGATGTGTCCATCACTCTGGAACAGGGTAAATCTGGACTCATCAGACCACATGACCTTCTTCCATTGCTCCAGAGGCCAATCTTTATGCTCCCTAGCAAATTGAAGACATTTTTCCAGTCAGCCTCACTGATTAGTGGTTTTCTTAAGACTACACAGCTGTTCAGTCCCAATCCCTTGAGTTCCCTTCACATTGTGCATGTGGAAATGCTCTTACTTTCACTATTAAACATAGTCCTGAGTGCTACTGTTGTTTTTCTTCCATTTGATTTCACCAAACGTTTAAGTGATCACCGATCACGATCATTAAAAAAAAATTTCCGGACACATTTCTTCCTTGAAGACGATGGGTCCCCACTATCCTTCCAGTTTCTAATAATGCGTTGGACAGTTCTTAACCCAGTTTTAGTAGTTTCTGCAATCTCCTTAGATGTTTTCTCTGCTTGGTGCCAATGATTTGACCCTTCTTAAACAAATTGACATCTTTTCCACGACCACGCGATCTGTCTTTTGACATGGTTGTTTAAGAAATGAGAAGCAACTCATTGCAACAGTTGGGGTTAAATAACTTGTTGCCAACTGAAAGATAATCGTCCATGCAGTAATTGTCCAATAGGAGGCTCATACATATTTGCTTATGTAACAGACCCAGGATCAGAGCCTATTAAACATATTAAATGTTCCTGTAAAACAGAGAAATGATGAGACAGGCGACTGGTGAGGTTTCTCAATGCCTCGCTTCTGCCACATTTATTAATGCAATCAAATGTATTTTCAAACTGCATCATAATAACTGTTCTTATATGCAAAACAAATACATTGTATACTGAATATAATACATTCCATTCATGTACAGTGACCTTTAAAACATCAATATCGATGAAATCACCTTTTTACATGACACAATTCACAATATGTGAATTACACTGCTTTAGCTTTCAACATTCTCAATATACATCTTTAAAATCAGTAAACACATGTTGCTCACTGCCAATGGCATATTAACACTATTACACAATGCCAGGATATAAAACGGAGCTTATATAACTAAAAAGTAGCTTGAAATAAGCATAATACTAAATCAAAATGGCGCATCACCCTGACTCCAGCTTTTTCAGTCTTTTCACATAGTTCAAAACATAACAAAATACAGGATTTACTGACTGATTTATATATCCATATTTAGCTGTGTATCTTAAAAATAATTTACAACCCCTTTCATGTGGTTTTTACCCTTTACTAACCTGTAAAATACAGGAAAATGATGAGACAGGCAACTGGTGACGCTTCTCAATGCCTCGCTTCTGCCACATTGGAGAGGGAAGGCCTATGACCGCGCTAGACTGTCTCACAGCGCAATCCATCCAGTCTCTCTGGGAAATCGGAACCAGTACCCTCCAGTACTCCCATTAGAGTCTGAGTCACTCAAATCACTTTTCTGTCTGTCCTGGTCACTTAACTGAGTCTTTCTCCACCTTGTCTGTCTCTCTGATGCTCGCTTGGTTCTCAGAGGCGGAGGTTCAACTGGGAGGTCATTAACAAATAATAGGAGGTTACGGAGTAGAACCCTGGTCTTACTCCCATCATTGTTCTCAGGGTAAACTGCATAAACTGGATTGTCACCTACTTGCTCTTTAACCAGATAAATGGTCTTCTCACTGTAGGAACGTAGCTTCCCTGGTCCTCCACGTTTATGATAAGGACCCTATTTCCAGGCTGTAAAACTACACCCTTCAGTTTTTTGTCATAGTAAGACTTGCCTCTGATGCTGGACAGTCTACTTTTCTCACTGGCTATCTTGTATGCCTCCGTCATCTTTTTCGACCACCTGTCTGCATAGCTTTTGTGTGACACTATCTGTTTCTCCCCAACTAGACCAAATAAGATGTCTACAGGAAGATGTGGATGGTGTCCAAATAGGTAAAAGTGGGGGGAAAACCCTGTTAATTCATGATGTGTACAGTTATAAGCATGTACTATGTGTGACAAATGATCTTTCCAGTGTTGCTTCTCTTTTTCACCTAGTGTTCTTAGCATCTACAGACAGTCGCGCTGGGTATCCAAAATGTGGGATGAATTTTCCAAAGATCCGTTCAGCTGCTATCTTTCCAGATTTATTTTTGGTTGGATACACCTAAGCAAACCTTGTAAAGTGGTCTACAATGACGAGGATATATTTGTATCCCCCTCGGCTGGGCTCCAGATGAAGGTAGTCGACGCAGACCAGGTCCAAAGGCGAGCTGGATGTGATGGTGCCCATAGGAGCACGTACTTGGGTTGTCGGCTTCTTGCTAATGATGCATGGGCATTTTCTGGTAACATAGTCCATAGTCTATTGTGTTTTAGCACAGTCTCTTTGTATTTGGCTGGGAGAACCAGTTGTTGTCTATCATTTATCTGTCTGTACATTAGTCCATTTTCAAAATGTAATTTGTTCCATTCCTGCAACATATTTCTTGATGTTTAATTCACTTTGTTTCTGACATCATTTGTTAAAACTGTAATTTTCTCCTTCAGTCTTATTATCTCACCTACATTTTTGTCCTCTCTTTGTGCTTTAGCAAGCTCATCTTGGTCCATCGTGCGGATAAAAGACTGTGGTTCTTGTGTTGCACTTGCAGTGAGGGCTAGAGAAGCAACCCACGCAACATCACTTTCTTGAGCTGCTCTAGCTCCATTCCAAGTTGCTTTAATCACTTTAAGTGATAGTCCCTCAGTGCACTCGTCAACATACTTGTCGATATTAAGGGGCAGGCGTGACAGTGTGTCAGCATCGACATTGGTCTTGCCAGGTCTGTACTTGATCCCAAAGCAAAAGTCTGATAGTTCTCCAACCCAGCCATATCCCACAGCATTGAGCTTGGCTGTACTCATTACATAAGTCAATGGATTGTTAGGGCAACATGAGCACTGACCTGTTTTGCTCGTTGTGTGGAGCCTAATCTACGATGGTGCTCAGATTCCTCACTGGTCACTTTCATTACATATTTTAAGATGGTCTCATCTGTAACTGACTGATTTGCAAGCAAAGGTTTTAGTTCTCTTAGGGCGGCTGTGGCTGAGTGGTTAGAGCAGTTGTCCTCCAATGCAGGAGTTGGGGGTTCAAATCCACCAGCAGTCACATGTCGAAGTGTCCTTGGGCAAGACACTGAACCCCTCGATGCCTCTGATGTGTGTCCCATCGGTGTATGAATGTGACCTAAAGCACTGATTAGTCTCTTTAGAAGGATTTGTTCAATTAGCTTTGTAGAGA